TGATATTTTTTTAGGAGAGTCTCTATTAATACATATATTCAGAACACTATTGAAGTTACCCATAAGTATTATTTTGTAGTTAGTATTTTGTATTAAGAGATTATTTTTTCTTGGATTTCTTTATGAAGTTGTTTTTTCTCTGAGATTGAAATATAGATTTGAAGTAATCTAATTGGTTAGTTTTTGAAGTGAAAATCAAGGCCTACAATATGACTATTATAGTTATATATTCTGGCAATATATTTTGCGATATTTTGATAAATAAATATTCTTACACCTGCTTAATATATATTTTTATAAGAGCTCCAATAGCTTTTATAATTTTGAATATATTTGTTTATAAAATTTCCTTCTTTTGTAGAGAGATGTGTTTCTGATATTTCTAGAATTTGATAAGAAACATTATTAAGAATTTAAGATAAAGTAAGTTGTTTGTTAGGTTGTAAAAGACTATTAATATTTATAGAAGCTATTTTTAAAACAAGTGAAGTGTATTCTATTGAGATATTATTATTGTTATTAAGGTTATTGTTTGTGATAGAGATATTGTTTAAGTTTGATTTTAGAGGTAAATAAGAGTATTGTAGTTGATCATGAGTAGATAAAATAATATAATTTGAAAGAAGAGAATCATTGTAGTTAATATAGACATGAGTTTCAGTTTTTGCTAAATTGATTGAAATTTTTGGAATTTGAGTATATTTAATATATTGAAGATGTTAGTAGAAAGATTTGAGTGTTTGTGAGTTTGGGAGTATTGGTAAATTATAATGTAAAAGGAATTTATTAAAATATAAGTTGTCTTCAGTAGGAAATAATATAATAGTAGCAGAAGATAATTAAGAGTCTTCTGTAAATATACTCACTATATACCCAGTTCTTATAGTTGCAGAGAATATTAAAGCCTGCTCTGTTTATTGAGTCTGGTTGTTATAAAATTGGTTCATCATGTAAATAGATTTTCCTACTTGTCTACTTACTATATTCTCTTCTAAAAATAGCCTACAAGATGTAGAGAATATCATTATTTTAGAGGCAGTAGTTGTATTTATGTAATTTACAGAAGACAATTTTAGAAATTTTGAGTAGTAATTTCTGCATAAGAAAGTTTAGGACTATTGGGTATTGACTTAATAGTTATCTTAGTTATGTTATCTTCTTGTTGAAAAGAAAAAAAATCTTGAGTAATATTTGTATTGAAGAGTAGAGATTGTTTAATAGATTTTGGTTGTTTTAAAGTAATTTTAAATTTATCATAAATTATTTGTTGGGCTTGAGGATAAAATGTTGTTTTGTATTTAGAATGAATTTGAGATTAACTAATAGGATTTTGATATAAGATATAATAGAATATGAGAATACATGCAAGGTAGTGTATATCAATATGATCTTGAGTGACTTTTATAATTGCGTTATGTTGGCTTAGCTCAGAGATACTATTATTTCTGCTTGTAGCTAAGAGAAAAACCTTAAAAAAAGTATAAAAGTAGTATGTTTATCGTTTAGGATTAGTTGTAGAATTATTGAATGATATAAATTCTTTTTCAGTATTATCAGCAAGTTCGTTAAAAAGTAGAATTAGTATTAGAATTTTGAAGCTAGCTTGATATTTTTGGTTTTCACTAAATATTTCACAGTTAAGAGTAGAATAGATAATAGTAGATTTTTTTTCATCACTATTGATATTTATTTTAAAGTAACTAGAAAGCAAATAAAGAAGTTTTTGAAAATATTTTTTGATATAGTAGAAAAGTCATATTTGTTTATTAGTAATTAAAGAATATGTTTAAGTAGTGTCAAAGTCACAAGTATAGAGATAGAAGAAAGTTGCTTTAGTAGATTGTTTAGAATACTCTTGTAATGATGAAGGAGTAAAGTATTTAAAATTTTCTGGAAGGAGTTTTTTTTGATAAGATGAAAATTGAAGATAAATTTGATGTTTAAAATAGTTTTTTGTTTTGCTTTTGTCTATAAGGATGAATTGGTGACTATAAATTTCAAAGAATAAATTATACTATTTTTCAAAAGTATAATTACATTCTTTGCAAACTAATCTTTTTTGATTCATGAGGTCCATTTTTTTTGATTCATAAAAAAAGGCCCTTTTTTTGGATCTACAAATCTGTCACATGAATATTGTTACATGAATATTGCATATAAATTATGTTATACGGCAGCATATAAGTATTATTTATTATTATACAGTAGTGAATATTACACGAATATCAGGTAGCGAATAGTTACATATTAATGAATATTATATTGCATGATAAAATTTTCTTTGCTAATGTTAGTATCATAAAGTTAAGTATCATAAAAATTAAACACTATAAATAAAGTTTCATTGAGGTGGCAATCGAAAAGTGTTTTTAGAAATAATTTAAAAAGCAATAAAGAGCATGTTGCCTGTATTATAATTACGGATAGGATCAAAATTTAAATAGGCTAATAACAATATGAATAATAATAGAAATACATATTAATTTGATATTTGTTATACTTTAATACTGTAATTATTATTGCTAAATATATATATAGCAAAAAGAAAAGCAAATTGAAATTGCTTAAATATAGAACTGCTAGAAAAGTTAGAAATAAGATACTTATATGTTATCAAAAATTTACCAAGATGCATTATGTTGAATAAATTTTATTAACTTTGTGAAATTGATCTTTTAAAATATTGTTAAAACATCAATTATTATATTAATATTATTACTTAATGATAATAGTGAAGACTTTAATATTATTACTTAAAAATAATAGTAAAGGTTTTAATATTATTACTTAATGATAATAGCGAAAGCTTTAATCAATACATCATTTTGATTTATTTAATATTGTCTTTACTATAAGTTATTGAATTTAATTTATTTTTTAAATATGAACATTCAGAACATAAAATAATAGAACATATTTTAAATGTTTTATAATGAAAATATATATAACCTAGATCTGCAGTTTGTGTTCTTTTTTTTTTATATTATTGAACTGCTTATAATACTATTTTATTCAAAGTTATAACCAAATTACTTATATAATATCAAGATATAAGCGAAAAAAGCTATTTAATATATATTATAATCAATATTAATATGTTTTTTCATACTATTGATATTTAAGTTTCAGATACTGTACTGCAAGATTTGGTCTTATTCTTTTTGTGATCAAACTAGCTAATTATCTTGGTCGCATTAACAATATCATTATCATCTAGATGGATGTTTCAAAGCTAATATTCTTTTTCAAATTTCTTTCGATTCCAACTCATACCTTGTTCTTCAAAGAGCTCTTCCAAAGCAGGATTATCAATTTTTCTTCTTCGTAGTAACAAAACAGTTTTAGAATTTTTATTATATAAATTTGACTAGAGGATTATAATTAAACTTTAGGAAAGATACTTAAAGTTTTCTTTTTTATCTAATTGACTTATATGTTCTAATATACTTTTGTGTTTGTTATTTCATATTCTTTTGATTTGGCGCTGTTCAACAGAATATAGTATATTCATATTTTTAATAGCCATAAGAGAGACCAATGGCTTAATTATTTAAAAATAACTTAGTTAATATAAAAATTACTATTGATTATTTTAAATAAATAAGCAAATTATACTTATGTTCCTTGGTTTGAGTTGAACAGAAGTAAATAGTGACTCTTAAATTTTATCATTAGTGTTTGGTATAAACATTGCATCTTGATTATTACAATTTTTGGTTATGAAGGGTGACTTGTTAGAATTATCAAAATTGGTGTTATTATCATTTGGAGTTAATGAATTAATATACTCGCTAAACATATGAATATTATTATAATTATCCAAAAGCTAGAAAATATATAAGTTAGTATAGTACAAACAATTCAATTTATATTAATTAATTCCTACCTCATTTCTAATGATTATTTGATCTTTTATTTCATTATTAGATATATTATCAACTCTATGAGGCTATGTAATATTAACTTTCAACAAAATAATACTTATGGGTAACTTCAATAGTGTTCTGAATATATGTATTAATAGAGACTCTCCTAAAAAAATATCA